TTCCTGTGTGTAGTTTTTATTCCAATGAATAGCCTAACTATTCCATTGCATATTTCTGTCTTTATCATGTACTCTATCTTTTGAGCCATTAAATCTATCTTAAACTAAGAAACTTTTCACCAGGAGTTTCATGAAAATCAGTACATTTTCAGAAAATATTTTGGTTTCAATTAAAAATACGTTTACTAAAAATATCCCATTAAGCTTCCATATGAACTGCCATGTTGGTTAGAGCAATGGTTCATTTAGTCAAGTTTCCCACCTCTGGTAGCAACCAGCAATCTGTTTCCTCAAAAAACGGTCTCCAAACTCATAAAGAGCAATTATGTTCTACTATAGTGCAAGCACCTTCAGCAATTAATGTGAGCATTAAGGCACGTATACACTTCATTATCCTATTTAATTTTACTAAGGATATTCCCATTGTTCATTAACATCAAATTCTTTTTAAAAATCTGACTACGTTTTTTGTCTTAGCAGTATCTTAAAGTGAGTAATTATTTATGATGTAAAAGAAGTGCTTTGTTTTAATCAGTTTTTAGCCTGTTGCCTTTTTGTTTCTGCTAGTGATCACTTCATCGTGTATCACAGAGAAAAATAGGAGTACCTGATTTGCTTCTCTTTGTGATTCATTATTTCATATGCTTCTATTTTGTTCCTTCATTATTTTCCTTTTCTCTAAATGAAATAATCTTAATTTTTTTTCAGTCTCTCATTAGACCAAAATCTTTCCTTACATAATCGTTTACTTTATAACTTTTATATTTCTTCTATGTTCTTTATGAAGTGATCAGAAACAAATTTAACATTCCATGTTCTGACATTTGGTACATCTAATGGCAGTATAATATATTTGGTATTATTCTAAATTCGATGTACAAAGTTAATTTTTTCCAATTTTTAAATTTAAATGCAATAGTAGACAAAACACAGAGCTTCGAAACATTTTTAAGAGACATACTGCATAGATACGTATAAAACATGCCCCCCTTTTCTTCCTTCCTTTGATTAATTCTGTTGTTTTGTAACCCCTGAATTATTTTATCCTGTATCAGTATTATATGATTAATCTTGATAATTATTGGTAATTACAATGTGATATCTTGGTGAAACCACAAAATTATATGCAAATCATAAATTATGGGAGTTCTTCCTGTGACATTGCCTGGAATTGCAGAAGTATATAAAGCCAAGCTATAAAGCTGCTGAAGTGTGGGATTTCTGTCACTTGTTCATACCAAACTGGGGGGAAAAAAACCTGCTGGCTATTATGGTTAATAACTAGATCATCATTATGATATGGGTTCTGAAACTGATAACTTCCTTGGAATAAATGAGCATAAACCCTAGGAAGAAGAATAGGCTAATTATTGCTGCAGTTTTGTTTTCTTTGTATCATTTTCCTGTGTTTCCTGGAAATGCATTCCATTTATTTTCTAGATCTGGAAACCAATCTAGTCCTTTCTGTCTCTGCACAGAAAGGACTTTTGTTTAGATCCATTGGCTCTTCTTAGTAGCTAATTCATTGTGTTTATTATGTCATGTGAACTATAGACATGCCTCATTTCCTTTTTTTTGTTCCCAGTTTGGTACCTTTGATGCATTTCTTTTTTTTCTCCGCCTTCAGCCTTGAAGAGTATGTTCTGAGATTGTTTTCATCACCCCTTTCAAAATGAAAAACATTCACATTTCCTTGCTTTCCTCTCCCTGTGAGAGAATCCTGCTGATTTCTCAATCATGCTTAATGGCTTTGTTCTTTTAAAACTAGCCCCATTCTGTGAGACAAAGTCCATCAGAGCCTAGTAAAAGGTAATATTGCCACTTTGATGGGGATTGCATCCGTTCTCTGCAAGATGCTTGGAATCTTTTGTATTTTCCATACTGTAGTTGTAGTTGAATTAGGGACTGCAAATTTTCACTCTTTTACCAGCTGTTTTTTCCCTCCCTCTACCTCTTCTGTTTCTACCTCCATATTTATAGATCTATTTTAACTGTGCGGTATTTACACACATTTTTTATTGTTGTATGTTGCTATAATATAGTAAACCCAGTACCCCAATCTGTATTTTCAGTGAGCATCCTCTGATAAAGGACTTTTTATTACTTTTCTAAGTTGCATTCATCTCCACTTCAAAGTCCATTATACTAACTGGTAGGGGTGTGCAAAATGGGCTGTTTTTGATTCAGATTCAGGCCAAATCAGGGACAATGATTTGATTTGTTGATTTGGATCAAGTCCCCGATTCAATTCAGCCAAATCCAAGTCCGAAGGTTGGCTGCTAATTCGGAGAATCAGCGATTCAGCTATAGACACAGCTTCAAATGTTTTTTCTACATACCTCGAGGTATCAGGTGCGGCTCGTGAACACTGCAATGCTGGGGTGGATGGAGCATCCCACAGAAGTGTGGGGGGGGGGGGGGCCCATGTGCTCGGCAGCAAACCTGCAAGTGGATTGGAAGTACTTTTGGTCCACTTCCTGGTCTGCCGGGGAGCATATGGGGGGTCCCCCTCCATGCTCCCCTGGCTTGGTGATTGGTCATGGGGAGACCCCAAGTGCCCCCCCCCCGACCCAGGAGGCACCAGTCACTAAGCTGAGGAGGTGTAAGGATGCCACCTAGCACATTCACCAGCAGACCTGGAAGTAGACCGCAAGTGCTACTGGTCCACTTGCAGGTCTGCTGCTGAGAGCCCTGGGGAGCCCCTGCACTCCTGGGGGAGGCTCCATCCACCCCAGTATCTCAGCATTCATGAGCCACCTGCTACCTTGGGGTATGTAGAATAAACACTTAAAGCTGTGTCTATGTCCGAATCTCCAATTCTTTCCAAATCTATTTGGAAGGTTCTGATTCGATTCAAAGAGATTAAAGTGTCATCTAATTTGATCTGCATTCAGAGATTCGGCCACCAAATCAGGCCGAATCTCTGCCAAATCGAATCAGCGGCTGAAGCTTCGCACAGCCCTACTAACCGGCATTATACTGACATTGTAACAGCAACACAGACTTCCATGTTTGCTACTGTCTTTCCAGTTGCATCAGAAGGGTAACAGAGACAAATAAGGAAGCCCAGGAGCTGAACACATTTTTCAGGATGTGAAAAATCATGCCTGAAGAACATAAGCAAGGCAGTCCTCATTCTCTCTCTTTTTTTAACACTTCGAAAATATTTTGCCTAAGGAGTGCAGTAGCTTTCCTGGACAATAGTAAACACTGATTATCCACAGAAAAACACAACACCATAGAAGTAGTGAACGCTTTTCCACTGCCGGTGTTCTCCAAGCCTTGTATGGTTCTTGAAGGACCCTGTGTATGGGTGGAAGAGTAATATGATTTCTATGCCAGTTCAACTCTTACCCCTTCTGAAGAAACTGCTAAGAATACCATTCTAATGATGGTTTATAGAGATGGGCTAAATATTTATAGCAAAATATTTTAAAACTGAAATCCAGTTGTCTTTATGGTGAGATCTCCAGCCTTAGACTATCAGAGGTTGTAGAGCTTCTCTACTGGGTGCAAGATGGCTATCACAAATGGAGGGGTGACGATTATGGAGATAGCTAAGGGTTGAGGTTGCTTTGTATGTGCAGAGGTAGAGAAACAGTGGTGATCTTATTTATTTATTTATTTGATGAGAGAGAGCTGGATAGAGCCCACCTTACTGTAGGACCAACCAAATAGAAAGATGTTTCTGCCTTCAAACTGTACTCAGTAATAATAGTACTTTCAGCTTTTTTTTTTCTGACCTGCTAACTAAATATTAGGAGTGTGATGGTGGAACTGTTACAGCACTGGAGACCTAAGTTAAAGCCTAGTCTAGTTTATTGCCAAAGACTACTCTGCATTGGCCTAGTTGTAAATGGGTACCGGGACATTTGGCCTGGGGAGTCAAGGGCAGCCACACGTGATGTTGGCACCATCAGTGTCTTGTGTGATGTTGGCTACAGAAACTGGTATGCCTTTACGATTTTAGGCATGTGGACTGCCTGGCTTGAGAGGACCCTTCATCTTGTTATAAACATTAAGTAATAAATCTTAGCAGCTCCCTAAGATATCAGTACATATTACAGATGGTGAAACTAAGACATAAAATGACTGGATAAGTCAAGGAATATTTCTGAAAGGCTCCTGAGTGACCTGCAAAACTATGTCCCATTTCCAGAGTGGCCTAAGCATTGGCAAATAGGACTCATGCATCTAAGTAGTTTAGGCTTTTTAAAAAATGCTATCCAAGGACTTTCTGAATTTTTTTCAAATAAACTATGCAGAGACTCCCTATGCCTGAAGAAGGGTGGCTGCACCCAAAAGCTTGCTAAGAACTTTTTTCCAACTACTCAGTTGATCTAATGAAAGATATCACATCTACTCAAAGAAGCTTGCCTGCTTGTGTCCTTAGACCAACATGGCTACAACCAAAAACCCAGCAAATAAGCAACAAGGAATCCATTTTGATGCTGTGCTTTTGCTTTAAATTTGTGTACATTTATTTATTTGCTAAGACCCATGGTTCAAGAAGTCTCTGGATATTAGTGGGGGTTTTTTTGTATCCAAGGCTTGAAATGTCAGTGTTCTCAGCAAACATAGGTTCATTAGATACTGTGTATTTGATGCTGTGGATATATCTGAACTCATATGGTCGGTATGCATTTATGTTTTGCCAAAAAGTGGCAAACTCTCCTTTTATTAGGCTACTATTTACATTTTTTGTTTTCATTTCTTTCAAAGAAAGTAAACGTTCCATCTTTCTTATGTCAGCTTTTTTTGGTGTTTGAAATCTTTAAAATATTTTGCCAGGATTTAATGTATTTAGCTACAATTTCAGGAAAAATGCTGGTTAAGCTTTCATGTAGAAGTTTGCTTTGGAACATCTGGAAGGCTTTAGGGAAAAGGCAATGATGTGAAGTGTGAATTGTCAGCAGGGGAGAACTTGCCTTAAAAAACGAAAGCTTTAATGCCTGAGAAAATGACAGCTTATCTGATTGCTCTCTAATCTTTTTTTTCAGCACTGGCTGACAGAGCTAGAGATATTTGCTATGATCTTTGCAGCTGCCGTCCATGACTATGAACACACTGGAACCACCAACAACTTTCACATTCAGACACGGTGAGACTCTTGTGAAATTGTTGAAGGAGTGAGCTGTGTAGGGAGGAATGCTTGCAAAGAGCAGCCCAAGAGTAGATGGCAAAGAAGTGCCAAAGCTTTTGTCTTAATTTATGAACAAAATTAACTTCCTTATGCTATATTTTATATTCTGTTGCTCAACCGTTTACTATGGAATCTTCAGCTGTAATCTTATGTGCAGTGTCTCTCATTTTAAAGTGAGGTATAATGAACATCTTCTTTTCCCTATAAAGAACCAAGCATATTGATCTGTTTAAATTTGAAAATCCAAAGGCTTAGTCAAGTGAAAATGGATATTAATAAACAAAACCAGAAATTAACAGAAAATACAGCCTTTGCCAATACCTTTCCCTGTATAATACCACACCTGCAGCAACAGAATGTATTTTATGATGCTGCAGTGACAAGTCATGATACCTGTTTTAAAAACACTGGGGAACACTGGAGCCATCAGTTAAATGGCCAATAATTTGATTGGACCAGGGCCATTTTGTAAGTAGACTATTCTTTTGCGATATGTACAGGGAGATTTTCAGATGCACAAAAGGAAGTTGGATGAGTAATGTCCATTGACTTTCAGCATTAGGTAGGTCTTTAACTACTATTTGTGCCTTTGACAATATTCCCCTTTGTGACAAAGGTCAGATATTCTCAGCAGTAAGTCTCTTGGTATCCATGGTTACACCATAAATTCTTTATATGAAATAACTGATTCATTTCTATTGCCATGTTCTCTTTATATAAAAGCACAGTTTTGTGTGAAGGGGCACGGGGAAGGGGGAGGGGACCCAGGGAGGCGAGTATGTTTTGGGCATACTGAGAAGAGCCTCCTGCCTCTGTGCTAGCCACAATCCAGTCCTTGAACTCCCAGCATGCAAAGGTTAAATAATTCTCACATTCTCCAAAGGGATCTAGGAGAGTTAGGGAAAGCTGGAAGTCTAATCTTTCCTCTGCAACATTGGCCATGAGAATTAGGACAGCATGTGTGGAAGAAATACACAGCTCCCTCCAAATAGGTTACACGAGGAGCCACTCGGGACCATGCTTACCCAGTCCTCCCATTAAATGTCACTGAGCAGTTTTCAGATGCAGACCAACCCAAGCATTCAGACCAGAGATCAGCATTCTCAGATCCATTTATACTGTGGAGCTAAAAATAAAGCAGTTCACTTAGGAAGCAGATCTGGTTGCATTTCTGGTCAGGTCAAACTACTTTAGAACCGGTGGAGTGTAAGTACACTTGTGCCTTGTTTAAGCTGATTGAATATTCAAAAATCTACTGGAGAGATGGACAGACAAACAAGATACTGCAAGGTAGATAACTATTAAGTAGTTAACCTGTTAACTATTCTGTTGTAACTGCCCATGTGTACTCATTTACTTTTAATGAAACTGAAACATTATTTCACACCTCTTGGTACCAAGTTTAGGCACCTACACTGTTGCATATATCTTGTAACTCCATAGTTGGAAAAAATAATACCTCAATACAAATTTAACCTGAGTTAGAACTGAGCAAAAAGCCTTGCGGTTTCATCCAAAAATTCATATATGTTCTTTTAAGTCTTTAACGTAGAGCTTATGTGAGTCTTGAGCAATGAAGAGGATTTGAAATTAGGGTGGATTACTATCATTTGGCTTTTTTCCAGCTGGCCCAATCACACTGCATACAGTAGTACAGCAGCTGTAAAATAGCATTCTTTCTCACATACAACATGGCCCAGAATATAAAACACATCTTGTTTTTGAAAGGCAGAATGAAAAAAATGGTATTTCCTTGTAATAAATTAATGAAAGCAGCAGCTAGGGAACTGAGCCTGCTTATTGTTCTGCTCCATGTGGTTTGCTGCAGATTTTATTTTCAGTTTTACCCAGAAAGTGGTAGAACCTGCTCTTACCCTCAGATATAACGCATGTTCCAATTTCCAGCAACTGGTTTTGGTGGGGAAAGGTGTATGTTGTGTGTTAGAAAATACGGTATATATTTCACAATAGTTAGTCAAAGTTTTATGTAATCAAGAATCTTAGTTTATGTAAAGAACCATATTTTTTTCTATGTTCTTTTTAAATTTTAGGTCAGATTCAGCCATTCTGTACAATGACCGATCTGTGCTTGAAAACCACCACGTAAGTGCGGCTTATCGTCTTTTGCAAGATGATGAAGAGATGAACATTTTAGCTAATCTCTCAAAAGATGACTGGAGGTAAGAATACGCAGCAAGACCAAATGGAAAATTTGCAATGAGAATGTTTGCTATTCCTGAGTTTTATGAATAATTATATGTATTTTTTATTTTAAGAAAACAGGGACTTAAAAAAATGTCTTATTTATTTGCCTTTTCACTTCTTGCTCCTTTATTCCTAGCATCACGAGCAGAAGGGGTGTGCAAAACAGGCCATATTCAATTTGGATTCCGATTTGGCCTGAATTGGGGACAGTGATTCTATTCGGTGATTCGGATCCCCAGTTCGGATCCCCAATTCGATTCGGCTGAATATGAATCTGAAGATTCAGCCATAGGCACAACTTTAAACGTTTTTTCTAGATGCCTCAAGGTACCAGCTGCAGCCCATGAATGCTGTGATGCTGGGGCAGATGAAGCATCCCACAAGAGTGTGGAGGGGCTCCCGCATGCTCAGTGGCAAACCCAGGAGTGGACTGGAAGCACTTCTGGGTCCATTGGGAAGCATGCTTAGGGCCCCCCCTGCACCTCCCTGTCTCAGCAGTTGGCCACGGGGAGACCCCAGGTGCCCCCCCAGATCCAGAAGGCACCAGTTGCTGAGCCAGGGAGGCATGGGGGGCCCCCCAGTGTGCACCACAATGAACCTGGAAGTGGACCAGAAGTGTTTTTTGTCCACTTCTGGGTCTGCTGCTGAGTGCACCGGGGAGCCCCCCATGCTTCTGTGGGATGCTCCATCCACCCCACCATCGCGGCATTCATGAGCTCCCTGGTACCTTGAGGTATGTAGAAAAAACACTTTAAGTCGTGTGTATGTCTGAATCTCTGAGTCTTTCTGAATCTCTCCGAATTGATTCAGAGGGTTCCAATTTGATTCAGAGGGATTAAAAGGTCTCCTGATTCAATTCAGATTTGGAGATTCAGCCACCAAATTGGGCCGAGTCTCCACAGAATTGAATCAGGGACCAAAGCTTCTCACAGCCCTAATGAGCGGTGGATCAAGATTTGTTATTTAGATTTTCTTATATTCTAATAGGCTCTCCTTGATATTCCTTTTCCCCACATATAGACATTAGAGAATATCAGGCTGGACTGATTTGTTTTTTTTTTTTATTACTGTGCCTTACAGCACAGTAGATATAAACTGTGACCACTCTAAGGCCCCTTTACATTGCCATTGCATTAGATATGGAATTTAGTTTAAATGAGAATGAGGTCAAGCTGAATATAAAGTGGGGAAATTTACATACCAAGGATTTGGAAAAAAGCAAACTTGAAAATAGGGGTGTAGGTTGTTTACTTTCAGGAGTATGCAAGTAGTTTAACTAAATTGTTTAATTCAGTTTAAGTCTATTCTGGGTTGCTTAATATTTCTTTTCCTCATTAGGGCCTTATTTTGAAGCTGTCATATGTGAAGCATCTGTGGAAAAGAGGCCCTTATTTAGATCCATGATAATGCCTATCCTTTCTGATGTGACCTTTGATTTTAGAAGCCTCCATTTTTACAGTGCCCATTTGAAACACCTTGGGCCCATTTTGCAGAAGCACTAAGAGATCACAACTGCATCTAAACACAAGGGGAACTTACAGGAAAAAGAACTGGACATGAAGTATCTCAAGATACACGATAAAAGAACAGAGCCTTCTAGATCAGAAGTTACTTCTGAGATTTATGGTTTAAGTTATTTCGCTTGAACCTGACAACATTTGTCTTTATTCATGTGAATGTACCTGATAGCTTAGAGTGCTGACTGATGTGGGGGAACCCTCCCACCAGCGCTTTACTGGAAGAGGAATCGCGTCAGTTTGACCTGGTTCTCCAGCATCTGTATAACTCATGTGCTTCTGCAAGGCTTTTTTGTGCTTTTATCTAATAGCTGATTCAACCTTTTCCATAGCTGATTCAATCAGCTATCAGATAAAAGTGTCAAAGAGCCGCACTGAAGCATGTGAGCTATACAGATGCTGGGCAGTCAGGTCAAACTGATGCAATTTCTCTTCTGGGTGCATTCTGCTTGTTTTTTTTTCCATGTCTGTAAGCACCCTTAAGGATCCCTTCACTGAAAGGCCCAATCTCTGGATCTATAAAGGAGTCAGGCATGCACTTAAATGACTTTTCTGAAGTGAGGTCATATTAAGACTTGAGATTTGTTGATAACAGGAAAAACTGAAGATAGCTGTATTTCCCAATTCTGTCAGTGCATATGGAGTTTTTCAGTTTTACAGTTTTTTCAGTTTGCGCTTAATACTTCCTGTTTGGGAATGTGTGTTTAGTGCAGAGTTAGGGGTGGATTTTTCTGTCCATTTGGCAGAACAGATTTCTTTGGGACTTTTATAGGGCAAGCATCTTGAAGAGCCTTCTTAGGAGAAGGGGGATTAGGGAGACAAGAGCTTAGCCTCCAATTTAATTTTGCTCACTTTTGCTCTTTCCCTTTAAGAATACATTTGTACACAACTCTGCTGCTTATTTAATATTTGAAAGGTGAGTGGGCTGCTTCATATGACAAATCCCAGTGGTACCAGTAATCAACCTGAACATGTGAAAATTTGAAATTTTTAACCAACAAGCAGAAAAATAACAACAAGAACAAGTACTCAGGATTACATGAGAGATTGTACTCTGAACAACTTCACTGACTCCAAGTCCATTAACAGTATTCTGTGAAAGCCTCTATAGTATATCACTTCCTCAGGCCACATGCTGATAAAAATTGAAGAGCTCAAGATTTTCCAAATGCCTTTTTAATCCTGTCCTTTCCAGTAAGGGATTGGACTAAATATGCTCTATTTCAATAAACTGGATGAAAATTATAAAACAAAATAAAACAAAACAAAAGCCCACAGGCTAGGGATAGACATTCAAAAAGCCTGAACCTGAATTGATTCAGTCTTTTCAGGTTAGTCTAACCTGGCTAGGTTAAATCACTTTGTAACTGCACAGACATCCCAGATATGCAGGCACATGCCTGCAGTGACTCAGGCTAGAAGCTGGGGGGTGTAGTGACTGGCGGGGGGATGTCTAGGCCCCAGCAGGATGCTCTGATTAGCCCAGCAGGGAATTGATAATAGTGTTTATCGTCCCCTAACTCAGTGTTTATCACCCCATTAAGAAAACAAGCGAGGGACATTACCAGTTACCTGCTGATTCTCCCTGTTGATTCAGCAAGGACCATAGCCAGCATGTGGTCTGCTAGCTAATACACAAATACACAGACACCTCTTGGCAAGGGGGCCGGCAGGGGGGTGGTGGGCAATTCCTGCTTAGTAGGGAGTGAAGATGGGGAAGGGGAAAACAAACAGCTCTTCTTAAACAGCTTCTCCAAGGAAGGATATTAAGCTACCTGTTGATTAGCTCGAAAAAGCCTGTCGGCTTGTCATCTCCCACAGCAAGTACTGTAACCAGCATGTGGTCTGCTAGCTAATGAGGTGTCTGTATGAGGTAGAGGGGAGGGGGTCAATGATCCCTTCTATGAGACATATCAAACAACAAGAGCTATGGGTCTGCATCACATTATTTTTTTAAATTCTTATGGAAACTTTTCAGCCCATGCTCTTCTTCTTCTTTGTTTTTTTCCCCAAAACAACAGGTACTCATTTTAAAAATAATGATATTTTTTCTTGTCCAAATCTGATGTTTCTTTGTGTATCGTATGTGCACCTAGATTTAATGAATGATGCTAAAATGCCAACCTTTGAAAATGTCTTTGAGGCAGCTTTCTTCTTTTCTTTACTCTTTTCCATAATAATTAAAAAAAATAATGTGATGCAGACCCATAGCTCTTGTTGTTTGATATGTCCCATAGCAAGTTTCTGCCACCTACACAATGTGCACACATTTCACAGAAATGGAATGGTTAAAACACTTTCCTGTAGGAAACAATCCTGCTTTTGCTTCCTAGTGTATGGACTAGACAATCTCAAAATTGGTTTTCTACTGTACAATCTGTGATTGTATGGGTGTATAAATCCTTCAGTAGGACATGTTGCTAAGTAAATATCAAGTTTTAATTAGAGCAGCTCTCTGGGAACCGCTTTAATTAAAACACCCACTTCCCCACCCCCAAGCATGTGTATAGGCAGCCTGAGAGTTTAAGTGCCAAAACAGGAGTTATTTTCCTAAATCTCTTTTTGTATCCTCCCTAAAATCACTGTCCTAAAATCAACATAGTATTTGAGCACCTCATGCTTCTTATTTTATGAACCTCCCATCACCACTGTGAGTTAGGGAAATATGTAACAAAGGCACAGGAAGGTGATGAAATTGTCCAGAGGGACATGGGAAGTCAGAGAGAATAGGGAATTGAAATCCCTGGCTGGTGCCCTACATACTGGACCATCCTTCCTCTAACGTGATGGACTAATTTGGTGGCTGAAGTGAATTCTTACATTATGACACCTGGATTTAAGGTGAGGGAAGGTAGAAAAGCAAATATGATAGTTCTGAGGGTTTTGAGGATGCACCTGCCTGAAAAATCCACATTGTTTTATAAAGCAATTTCATCCTGATCCTTCCTGAGTATAAATAATCATTTGTATTAATGATTCAGGAATATTTGGAAGTAGTATCCAGCAAATGTAGATGATATGAGATACCTGAATAAATATACAAAATGATTTTTTAAAAGTAAAAATGCAGCAAGGCTGGGGTTATTAGGAATTAGGATTTTCAAGATTAGGAATTTCAATCCAAAATCCTGATACAGAGTGGATTGGAGATTAATGCTAGCAGGATCCAAGCTTTTCCATCTTTTTTTGGAAATACAGAGCAAATCCTGTACCTGTTTGAAACATTTATGATAGTGAATTACTTTATGAGAACTTTGAACACAAGTCTAGCAAGCCTACAGAAATCACCTTGTTTTTCTAACTAATCTGTTTTAAAACTGCTTTCAGACAGTAAATTTATATACAGTTGTGTTTCAAAATGTACTTGCTCCATATGCAGTATTTAGATAATCCACTTGTTTCCTTCTAAGAAACCTTCTGTAGCAGAAATCAATTCTAAAATTCTGTGTTTAATTGAAAAGAGGGAATCCTAATGGGCTATTCGGAAACCTCTGGGATTTCTTTAGTAAAAGTTAATCACCTGACTAAATTTTTTCTCTCTCTATGCTTTATATTTATGACAATACAACCTCCCCCACCCTTCTCTTGCACCCCAAGAGAAAGATAAGGTAAAGGGCTCAGTGACAGACATGGTGCAGAGTAGAAATAACATAGATGATTTGCAGATGTACAGCAAAAGACATAAAAGTGTTTCTTACATGTTTGCTTTTCTCTCTCCTCTGTTCTCTTGGCTGGATGTCTACTCAACAGGGAATTCAGGGCTTTGGTGGTTGAGATGGTGTTGGCCACTGATATGTCCTGTCACTTCCAGCAAATCAAAGCCATGAAGAATGCTTTGCAGCAGCCAGAAGGGTAAGTCACTTGATGATACTGGGTGTTTGTAGGCAACACTTTAAAGCGGGTTTAAGTGGGCTATATGCCTTTTGCACTGCTTTAATGGCATTGCTGTTTGCACATTCGATGGTGTATTGCACGTTAATTCCAGCCCCTGTAGCGCTTTTGGTAGTGTAATGTGCCTTAAATGACTTTGGGACACAGCAAATGAGTATGGGGTGCTGCAAAGTAAAACACCTCTGAGGAATTTTAGTTTCCTACACTATAGCCATGGAGCCAAGCACTGGGCTCTGTGCAGCTCAGGGGCTGTGCAGGCAGACCATGCAGACAGCCTGGGAAGGCTAGCTCCACAGTAGGGGTAAAAAAAAAAAAAAAAGCGGCAAGCCTGATCTTTTTTTTTTTTCTTCCCCCTGGACCCTACCTGCCTGAGCTGTGTGGAGGCCCGGTGCTTCTCTCCACAGCTGCAGTGTCCCCTGGGACTGCCCAAGCTGGGTGCCTGTGGGCGGGTGCTGCCTTGGGGCAGAACCACCGCTGCTGTGGAGGGAAGCACTGGTTCCCCAGCCCCTCCCCTGCAGCTCAGGGACCACTCTACCTGCCAACAGCTCACTCTCCCCTCTCTGCTGGTGGAGAGGCAGGTAAGTTTCAGGTTCCAACCCAGATGTACATGACATGGGGGTTTACTTCACCCTAAATTGAAGTGGTGTTTTTAAAAAAGTACTGCTTCAATTTAGGGAGAATTAAACCCCCATGTCATGTACAAATGCCCACTGTTCAGTTGCGTTTCAGCTGGTACTTTGTCATTGTATTAAATTGCAAAAGCATCTCTTTGGAAGATCCAGCTCTCTTTGATGTTCATGTGTCTTTATGTTTTTGATTTTCTAATTAATTCCTATGTGAGCACACAGACACAAGCATATACAAACGCACGCAGTTAATATTCTGAAGGATTTAAGTGTGTACATATGACAGCTTTGGCCCCTGATAGATATTACACTTAACATAGGATTAACAGGCTACATGTTCAATCAATGAGTGGCATGATAAAAGCGGGGATAAACCACATACTACAGAAAGGGCATGTCTAAACTTAATATTCATTGGCCTAATGTACATTAAGGCGATTTAGGGGCATGTCTAAATGCACATTAATGTAGGTGTGTGGATCCTAAAGTGCATTAATGTGGGTGTGCAGACTGACTTGGGACTAAAGTTGGTCCCAAGTCAATGGAACCAACCCAATGCACTGTATTAATGTGCATTAGTTCATCTACACATTCACTAAGCTATTTGCGCATAAATTTGATACCTGATTTATGCAGGTATCAAAGTTAGGCTTGAATAGCCTAAAATCACAATTTTTAAGGTTTATTAAGGGTGTACATGTATAGATACCTGCCCTTAATGCTCCTTATATTGGGCTAATGTGCATTAAATGCACATGTATAGACATTGCCAAAATACGTGTAGTAACTTTGTGGCAGGCTCTTTTCATGCCTTTAATTGAACATGTGGCCAGTGCCCAGCCCCTAAAGCACACAAGAGCCTTTCAAGACTTCCCTGTGCACCAGAGGTTGGGAAGCCCATCAGCTGATTGGGGCTCTCAGCTAGAGCGTACACTGTATGTTCTGTGGCTGGGAGCCCTGGTCAGCTCATAGGGCTTCTTCAGCTGGGACCCTCAGTCAAAGGATCAGGGCTCCCAGCCAGGGGAGTGTACTATGCACTTCCCTGGCTGCGAGCTCCAGTCCTCTGACCAGGGTTCCCGGGGAATGCATGGTGCCCTCCCCAAGATGAAAGCCAAACTTGCTACTTGCTGATGCAGGGGGAGCCTGGACTGAGGCTTTCCCTGTACTGGCAACATGGCACAATGGGATCTGAGTCCAGAACCAACCATCATACCCCCTGCCATGCATGGCAAGAATGTTAGGATCCTGCATCAGATCCCATTGTGGCTTTCCTTTAACATGTGGCAGGGACCTCGATAACAACTGAATACAGAGGGTTTATGTGATCCAGGTACAATGCAAGAGCTCCAAGAGCCTGGTTATGTCATCAGGCCCCAGGACTTTGGGAGCACAGTTGCCTCATCACCCTTTTGTAGATGGTAGCATGTGTCTTCAGCATAGGGGATGACCTCTGTAATCAGAGGGAATACAAAACAGTAGGGGTGTGCAAAACAGGCCACATTCGATTCGGATTCAGATTTGGCCTGAATAGGGGACAGTGATTGAATTAGTTGATTCGGGTCACTGTCCCTGATTTGATTCAGCTGAATCTGAATTTGAAGATTCAGTGGTGATTTGGAGAATCAGTGATTCAGCCATAGACACAGCTTTAAATGTTTTTTCTACAGACTTCGAGGTACCCCAGGCGTGGCTTGTGAACATTGATAAGGTGGGGCGGATGGAGCGTCCCACAGGAGTGAAGGGGGGCTCACTGCATGCTTGGCAACGGACCCGGAAGTGGACTGGAAGTGCTTCTGGTCCACTTCTGGGTCCACTGCGAAGCACGCTGGGGAGCCCCTGCGCTCCTGTGGGGTGTTTCATTTGCCCCACCATCTCAGCATTCACGAGCTGCCTGGTACCTTGAGGTATGTAGAAAAAACATTTAAAGCTTGTCTATGTCCAAATCTTCAAATCTCTCTGAATTGATTTGGAGGGTTCTGATTCAATTTGGAGAGATTAAAGGGTCTCCTGATTTGATTTGGATTCAGAGATTCAGCCGCCGAATCGGGCCAAATCTACACCGCATCAAATCAGCGACTGAAGCTTCGCACAGCTCTACAGAACAGGCTTGGAGAAGCAGCGATTTGAGGAGAGACTATTTATTTCAGGAGTCATTTGGAACTTGAAGCATCTTCTTCATTTCTACTCTCCCCACATCCTGTTTTATCCACTTGACACCTCTACCTTCAATAGTCTGAACCCTGCCTATTCATCTTGCTGGCAAGAAGGGCTGGGCAGAGTCCTTCTTAGATCCTACCAAAAGTGTACCAATTCAGGCAAGAATGAAACTAGCAGTTGTCTCCTCCCAGGAGCTGACAGCAAGGGGCATTGAGAAGTTGGGTTTAACATTTAAGTTTGCTTGGCAATGCAAAATATTATTTTCTAGTCTCTGGGCTTAGCCCTTCTTGGCCTGGTTTTAAGTAAATTTCAGCCCTTTGTGTTCTGTAGTTCCAGAAGCAATGTTTTAGAGTTATACTTCTGGTCTCTTACCAGTTTTATGCCAGGAACACATCTGGCTTAAATGGAGTCAAATCAGTGCCATGTCCTTTTTAGCAAGTTAGCAATCTAATACAACCTAAAATTGTTAGTCTTTTCTTGTGTTGCACAAAATATCTCAGCCCAAATCAAGAGCACTCTAAACATTCTAACTTGCTTGTTTAAACGCACACAAAATCCTGCAAAGAAAATCACCAAAGCTAATGCTCCCAGTTTCCCTTTGCACTTTTTTAATGACTCCATTACCACAGGAATGGTTTATGTCAGAGAAGTTAGATGATTAATCTTTCATAGTTGTCAGGTTTTATAAACACACAAATCAATCTAAAAAGTATCCGAGCCAAAGGTTATAATGGCCTCATTTCCTTGTTTTGCCTAGATTTTTATCTTTCTCTTTTTATGCTGGTGCAGACAATTAACTTGTTCAGTTATTTGCGTTTTCAGAATCGACAAGCCGAAAGCCTTATCACTGTTGTTACATACAGCAGACATCAGTCATCCCGCCAAGGCCTGGGACCTCCATCATCGCTGGACCATGTCCTTGCTAGAGGAGTTTTTCAGACAGGTAACTTGGGGAACTAACCACATTCCTTTCCAGTTCTGCAGACAGAGAATGAGTGAAGTAAGCAGTTACAAGAAAAAAAGGAAGTGTATGAATGCTGCGCAAGTCAGCATCCTTTTCCCCCCACCTTCTAAAACAGTGATTCTCAACGAAGGTACCATGGCACTCTGGTGTTGCTGTGAGAGCCCTTTAAAGGACATGTGGGATGCTGTACAATATTAGCACTCTTAGGCATGCAAACACCTACAAATAATTCATAAGATAAACCAGGGATTTCAAATAGAAATCCATAGTGTCAAAAATATTCTGACCTGTTGTGGTCTTTTTCAGTTCTTTAAAATAGAAGAAGTGCTCTATTATTTTTTCATAGTCAAGAAGCCAGCCTTCCTGGTCAGCTGGGAGCTTAAAATATGTAAAGTGCATAATCACTTTAATTATGAATTTGATATCAATATTTAACATTTAAATATGAATGTAATTTTATTGTGAATTTAACATGTTATTTTTGTTGACAAGTATGTTAGACTACCTATCTTGTTTTTGATTATTCATAGAGGGAAAGAGCTTGAGATATTTTTGCAACAGAGGAGGAAGGGGTGGGGCAGTAGGCAGTCTTCTCAGACTACATAGAAGAAAGTATTGGTAGTTACAGGGGACAGTATGGATAACATGAAGATCTCTGGTCTGGTCCTGGGCCTTGGAAATTAGTTTAACTCTCCCCACTGCATATACACATACACACAACAGCCTATTTATACAGGATTTCAATCAAATTAATTGCCAAGTATTTCTGAACTGACAGAATCATGTAGGTCTTCCCACTTCAATACATCCATTCTGTAGATGTGAAAGGATGTTTTTGAAATGCAGATTTTGTAGCATATAGCTTAGCAGGTTTAGTGCATATTTCTTAAAAGCAGCAACTCTTTGTATAGAGCTCATTTGGTTTACTAATGTTTTTTAGTGAACCATGAAGGAACTACCAAATGAGCTTGAAGAAGCCATCTAACTTTCTGAACACAGTGAAAGATTTGATTAGAGGCTGCTGCTAGCAGGGCTTAGGCCACTCTAATTTAGTTTATGACAAGACAAAAGAGACAAAGGTGGTTATCATATATCTTTGATTATAGATTAACTGTATAAAAGTTGACCCCACATTTTCAGATTCAGTTTTCGGAAGAACACCATTTCTCTGAATGTAAGTTAATAGCTCCAGGTAACCTTGAACTTCTGCTGCCCTCACACAATTCCACAGGAGAACCAGTTAACCAAAGAAAGGACCCAAAGGTTTAAAGATACTAAAATAAAGCTGCACTAAATAACATTTTTGCTTTGGTATTTTTATGGCACGCACAAAAATTCTGCAAGGACAAAAGACAAGACTGTCTTGACTATAGGTTGACTCTGCATATAAGTCGTAAAGAGCTTTTATGGTTATTTTGGAAGAAAGATAGACTTGTAATCAGGACAATGCAGTGTTTTAGAACTGAAATTGGAGTACAAATCTGCTTTGAGAAGTGGAAAAATAGATTGGTGTGTGCTACTCAGAAGCACTTGCAAATTTGGGGCTCAAGTCTATTCTTCAGTAAGTAGCTGTAACTCCCTTTATTACAATAAAAGAAAAGTGTTATTTATTATTGCGACCAAAGAGTCCAGTCAGGATTACAGCCCCATTTTTTTAAGCTGTGCAAACCCACAAGGCAAATACCTAGGACTTCTTATGACTTCAGTAGATATCTCTAATATTTTGAAGTTACTGTTTAGAATATACCAGTCACAACTATATGGAAGAAGGCCACCACATTAAGCAAAGTACAGTAGGGTGCTGGCTTACAACATTGATTTTAGATCATGTTAATCAAGTAATTTAACTTTGAGTGGCCAACAGGGAGTGTAGCAGCTGCATATTATCCCATGTGAATTATTGTGTTCTCTGTGTGCTGTAGTCTGGTAGTCTGTCTCAGGGAGACCTGAGATAAATAAAAGAGCAGTTTGAGCATGTACATTATGAATGCACACAATGAAAAGAATTAGCAGAGATGGGCTTTAAACATTTGATCGCCTGCTTCATTTTGTATTGACCAACAAGGGCATGAAATTCTGAGACCTGGGAAACCTATTTAGAGTCTTTGTTTTTGTGCATTTTTGCTACACAATGTTATACCAGGGGGGAGAGGAGGGAAGGATCTGTAACTGGTCAGATCTACTTTGTGCATTTCTATTCCAAAAGTATAAAATGACAAATAGAAAGCAATACCTGAAGGATAAGCCTTGACATTGACATTTTCCCTTAGTGGATTTGCACTAAAAATTGAATTCCATTAGCTCCTGCAGTGTAGAGTGCTTCCAGGTTTTCAAGATACTTTTAGCTAATAGACCTTATAGACACAGAGAGTGCTTTATAAAGATATGCCTATAGTTTGATTCACACCTGGATATTAGGATTAAAACTTTGATAGCTTCAATATCTGGGTGATTCATGGGTTTAAAATAGTTTCAGGTTTTATTGAGAAAATAATGAGGGGTGCTCGCAGCAAGGTAAGTTATTATTTTGTTAGGCAAATCTTTCCATATTCTAATCTGCTTTCAATTTTGTTTCTCCAGGGTGATAAAGAAGCAGAACTAGGGCTTCCTTTCTCACCACTGTGTGATCGCAAATCTACTATGGTTCCTCAGTCTCAAATAGGTACGTCCTTCTGATGCACTTAACTTAGGAGACCAGCTACTTAAAGGGGACAAACAAACAAAAAACCCAATCAAATGGAAAACCTGTTCCTTCCCAAGGGAGTGAGCTCATTTTGGTCTCTCATCACTTTGAACTAGTATATAGAGAGGAAATAAACATTCAGTGAAGTTATTTTCTCTGGATGAACGATTCTAGACTGAACAGCTATTAAATCTAATCAATTTATGAGCATGCTACTAAATGGTAACTGACTTAACTCTAATGTTACTGCAGGACCAACCACTATGCACAGCTACAGCGGCTAATCCTTGATGTACTAATCAGCGTACAAGAAACTTGTACTACTGAGGCTTCTTTCCTGATTTATAGGTTTTGCATTTATATCATTTTTCTTATTTAATTTATTCTCCATGTATCCAAGTCGTTAGAACCTGATTTCCCCTTTCCAGGACAAGCAGCACCTCAAATTCTTCATTTATCCCATCCAATGTCCCTTGCCCCCATACCCCACTCCCTGAATAGCGGAGGAGGTCTCCACCAACAACAAATCATGCTTCCTTCTTCAGTCCTGAAATTGGAAATTTGAATGGAGCTTGGGGAAAACTTTCAGGGTGGTAGTGATAAAAAAGGCCTGAGCTTGCTGAGCAACATGGAAGTGAGAGGGAGAGACAATAAACCTGGAATTGCAGAGGAGCAAGGGAGAAGTGAGAATTTACTTGTAAGGGAGGTGGGAGTGAACATACCTGAACATGTGGGAGTAGGTTGGGAGGGCTTATCTGGAAAATGGAAGAGGGGGAGAGAGAGATAAAGAGAAAGAGGCAGGGGACATGGAAAAGAGAAGGGGCTAGTGGTTCGAATGGTACTGTAGGAGAAGCAATAAAAAGAAAAATCTTAATCCCCTCCCCCCCCCAC